TGTCAAAATGCCCATCTTGGCGAGTATCCAGTTAAACACAGTCAGTTTTGGAACGTTAAATAGTTGAGAAAGAGAACGCATGTTGTGTAACAGTATATTGGGTCTGTGGATAAATTCTTTATGGGACCTCATTGCAATATTCCTGCTGTCATGTTAATCAAAGAACAAAAGACAAAGATAATAATTTTCTGCTCTTGACTGAATACGTTTTATAACTTTAATGGTAAGCATTAATCTGTATTTAATTTTTACAATGAAGACTACAGAAATTAAAGTGAACACTGGATGTGTTATTTTACATTTGATTAATTTCTTTTCTGTAGTATTTCTTACCTGAATAAAAACTTACTTAACCTGAAAAACTTAGTTTCATAGCTCTCTTTATTCTATTGCATTTATTTGTGCTGTTGTTAGCAATTTTTTTATTTGTTCTTATTTTATTACTGACTTTTTACTTGTTTTTTTATGAAAATAAAACTTTGCGTTGAAGAAAAGTAGATTTTAGTTTGTATATGCGGTCAATTATAGTTCTTAGAAAGAAAATCAGAAAAAATCGGAAATCGGAATCGGCCAAGAAAATTGCAATCGGTGCATCTCTAAAAATTAGCTTTATCAACTTAAAAACCCACTGCAATTCGTTAACAAACATCAGTTTGGAGCCTCAAAAATAGGGCAAAATGCCACCAAAATGAACAAAAATGCCCCACAAAGTCAAGATACAGAGGCAAAAAATGCCCCTGCACAAACTAAAATTACTAAACTAAACTAGAGCAATACTAGATTAATAAAATGCTGATTATGACATTACATTTAGATCTGCTCATGTTGCATCAAACACTTTCTTCATTGTTTTTCTTTGCATTTGTAAAAAATTTCAATTGTAATGCAATTGGTAAAAAATTAAGTTGACTATGAATTCAATTTATTAGACATGCTTTTTGATGAAAAAATAATAAATCCATTAAAATGGAACAAACCAATTAAAACAGAATGTGGTAAAAATAAAACAAATTAAAAATTTAAATTACATGAATCTCATAGCATTATGCAATTGTTGTGTAAATGTGCCACCTTGGGCAAATGTAAAGACAGCTTTTGTGGATGTTGATCAATTTCTTATTGGTAACAGTCTAAAGAATTCTTCAATACTCTAGGATGAATTAATTTAATTATGACAAAAAAACAACAACAGACGCTTGTAATAAAGTACTTATAAAAACTGACCATTCAAAAATAACACAATACACACATTAAATCACATAGAGGGGGCAAATATAGACTCTTTACAGAAAAGCTCATTTCTGCCCTTGCCCTAATATAGAGACTCGTACCTGGGAAGTGTGGTGGAGGTCCACCAGGTCCACCTGGTCCAGGAAAGCGGTCTCCTCCCGGGCCAGGTGGGGTGGGAAAGCGCCCTCGATTCTTGCCAAGAGGGAAGCCACTGCGAGATCCTGAGCCTGGAGGCCCGGCCTTCCCCTCTCCGGACATCTGCCCAGACTGTATGCCTGAGTGGACAAAAACTGATCATAAAACAACTGCAGCACAAACACAGCAGCAAGTTCACTAAACTCTGTTCAATCAGTAAATGTGTTGAATTTTCTGTGAATTTGTGTCTCACTTTTTCGCGACTGCATCTCAAACTGGCTGAGCGACTGTTTGTTGCAAGGAGTGATGATTGGGTTTTGTCCGTGCAGCTCCCGTTTGGACAGCAGGTCCATCAGCTTCCTGGACGAGGAGTCTGAACCCACGCAGACCAGAGCAAACCTGTGGAGCACAGAAAGGTCATGCTTGATGCTGATCTCTATAAAAACCATGTATCGGAGCATCACAACAGGGTTGATCTGTATATTTACACAGACCTAGGAAACAAATTTCAGGCTTCACTTACCCTTTTGACTGTCCATTTGCTCGATTCTCAAAAAACTTGATCTCCAGCACATCATTGATGCCTACTGAGTGAATAGCATCGGTCAAATCTTCGTCAGTGGTCCACTGTAATGAGGAAAACAAATGTTAGTTATACTACGTGTGTAATACACATATCTATCTGTATCTATACACATATACATACACTAATATTTTATGTGTTAATTATATTAATTACGGTGAAAATTAACGCGTTAAAATTATGAACGCATTTAACACACTTGCCCTGCCCCAGACCTATGTGGGTCATCTGACATTTCATACAGTTGATTGATGACAAATATGTTGCAGGGCAACAACTGATGTGTGATGGAACCTAGAGAACGTAGTTAGAATGTCCCTAAAATTCAAGATTGGGGCAAAAATGCCCGTTGGAATTTTTGTCTCATATTTACATCATATAGTTAAGCAATAAGAGCAATATCACAAGAGTGCAAATGTGATACTGGCCTTATACAACAGTTCAGTAAATAAGAAGTTAATATTGTGTGTTTTTTAGACACAATGTTGTCTGTTTTGCTCAATTTTGCCAATGAAAATATAAAGAAAGCAGAACTCTTCGTCTCCGAGCAACACACAGCGGCATTTCATTTCTTAATGCACGTTTTGAATGAATTGGGTGAATCATTTGGCGCGTTCAACCATTGGCGGCGCGTTGGATTTGAAGCGGCACTGCACAGGCCGATCGGTGTACGACATCAAAGGACCGCAAGAGAGATTCAAAAGCATAAGGAACCGTCTGCTCTCTATAGCTCTTGCGGTACTTTGTCATCCCAAAATTAAATCCCAAAAATCGATTAGTCTAGCCTGTTTTCAGTTAATGGACGGAACACTGAAGGGTACTTCCCATCCAATATATGGCAATAAGCATTGTGCTTTGGTACTTTTCATATGAAACAGCCTCCGATTTCGAATTCTGTCCATTGTATTGCAGTATTCAAACAATAAATGCCATTTTGGCGCCGTTTAATGTTGCGTGACAGATCGCTGTAGTGCCTCAACAAATGCCTGCGTTCAACAGACGCAGCAGCGTGAAGCGCACGTGAACTGATCATCTCCACATTAATACCAGCTTCAGCACAAAATAAACATGACTAAACATCCGAAGGTAAGTTAAAAGAATGATATAGAGCAGGGCTCTACAGTGCGACCATTTCAGTCGCATTTGTGACTGAAAACGAATGCGTGCGACTATGAAAATTTTTTTTAGGAGTACCAGTGCGACTGACCCGATCATCATCATCATCATTTGTGATTGCGCTGAGGGGAGCTTCAAAGGTTTCTACGTGTTTTTGCAGCGTTGAGTAATATATCACAGACATATCTCACGAATCCTTTCATAGCCTAAGCAAAGTGTAGACAGGGAGTAAATAAGAGATTCATTGTGCAGTGTAGAGAGCTTCGTTGATTATAAATGTGAGATCACGATGAACTAAGATGAGTGACAGCTTTTAATGATTTTTAAGGGAGTTTGTAAATGTGATACTGATTTAATACAACAGTTCAATAAACAAGAAGTTAATATTAAGTGACTTACATTGTCTGACTATAACACTACTGTCTGATTTTGCTCTATTTCGTCATCAAAAATAGTTTAAAACACAGAGGAGCCGCTGCGCGTCTCCATTCAAACACAGAGGTGTTTCGTTTATGAATGAACGTTTTTTTTTTAACGAATCTAGTGAGTCAGTGATCCATGATTACCCATTCATAAATACTGTCACTTGCTTCATTCCTGAATGATTCAGCCGTTCGAATGAATCAATTGAATGAATGATTCAGTGATAAAAATCAGTGACTTACCGCCACCTGCTGGCAGTTTTGGTTTCATTTTTAAAGTATCTTTTCAGTTATTTAAATAATTTAATATTTCTATATTCAACATTTTTTAAAACATTAATCTTTTAATCATTAAATTCATTAATAAACATGAATTTATGGATTTAATTGCACTCATGCCACCTCTGATCCTCATTAAATGTCTGAAAATACACCTACATGCCACTTTTGTGTTCTACTGTGCCACCTCTGTACAAATTAATTTGGTTAATACTGATTTCATTTGATTGGTAACTTATGTTTCTTATTCTACTTGTTCTTATTCTGTCATTTTAATTACAATTTTTAAAAAGCTTATAAAATATAATTTTAAGAATTTGACAAAAGATGACATACTTTTAATAAAGTTAGAAAAATGCCATTACAAAGGTAAAAACTAAATTCACTTTAAATGAATTTTTACAATTTACTGTAAATCACTTTAAGGAGTCAAATATCCCCTCGTAATGGGAAGGCACATTTTTGATAACATTTTGGATTATTGATTAGAAGGTGCTCCTAAAATTTTGAATGTGCTCCTAAATTTTTTAAGTTAAAAGTAAAAAGAAAAGTAAGCGTAGAGCCCTGTAGAGGGTACAAGACTGACCCATGTGAGGTTGCCGATGTACAGAGCGATTCGTTTGCCAGTGTAGGTGTAGACGACGTTCGGCGCAGCTCCTTTGTTCCCCTCGGATCCTCCCGGCGCAGGCAGGTTGTCCAGGTAATCTCGGTCTTCAGGTGCGTCCCCGTTGTTGGCAGATGGTGACATGACATCATCATACAGGTCAATCTGCTCATGAACAGGATAATCTGACTCCTGTGGAAGCAGAAAGACAAACACGCGTTTCAGAAATATTCACAGGACAGGCATCTCAACCATGAGCCATCATGGAGATACTAGTTAATTCTTTCCCAGTTTTCATTTTAGTTGACATTTCAGTAATTTTGTTGCGCTTATCACTTTCATTAATTTAAAAAAGTAATTTTTCTTTATAGAAATTTATTATTTAAATTAATTACATAACTATTTTTATCTATTATTTTCCTGTTTTAATTTGTTAAATATTTAGTTTAATTTTATTTTTAGTAATTGTGTTGTGTAAAAATTTATCTAACATATATTTTTCATGTTATTTTAATTTTACTTAGTTTCAGTAAAAAAAAATTTATGTGCTCGACATTTTGATTAGTTTCCTTTTAAAAAATATTTAATTTAATATTTTTGGTTTTCATTTTTATTTTAAAGTTTTAGTAATTTTGTTGTTTGTCATTTTACTAGTTTCTTTTTTAAATGTCTATACATTTTATTGCATTTTTTTCAGTTTGTTATTTAGAACTAGGGCTGTGCGATTAATCGAAATCGTCATAAAATCGCGATTTGAGCTTGCGAGATTTCTAAATCGCTTTATAGCACCATTTTCCGCACCCCCGACCTCCCACAGTATGCTATCCGAACCAATCAGAAGGCAGCGCG